GTCTTTCATCGTGCCCAGTTCATCCTTGAAAACATCAGTATGTTTTCCTAGAACATCCCTGAGCTCTGTGTTTTCCCTTGACACCATCCGCACCGTCAGCCAGTCCAATTTAATTTTTTCCATCCATTTTCATCCAAGCAACGCTGGGTATTTCCCTTTTACCAAATAAAGAGGCAGCGTTGCTGATTGACCATTTAATTCCACTTCCACATCCATTACTCCTTTTACAGTCACAGGCTCCCCCGTATACGTTTTCAACACAATCTTGGATGGCTTTAAGTAGACATGTTTTAGGGTTTTGTGGTACACAGCATCTGATACGATAGAAACAGCTGCACCAGCGTCTATCTCCATACGCACTGGCTCTCCCTCAATGATAGGTGACACCCAATAGCCTTTGGAGTCTCCTTCTATGGCTAGAATGTTCAAAGGAACTTCCTCCGAGGAGGAATCAGTGTCTTCTGTGTACTTGCAATTTGACTGCATTGTATACACATTCTTCTTATTCTTTGATGTGCCAGGCATTTTTCTGAATTTTTTGTGTTGCAGCATTTTGTTTTCCTCTGCAAACACGTTCTATGTGACCTTTTTTTCCACAACTGTGACACACCAACTCTTTACTCCAACACTCAGATGCAAGATGTCCAACTTTGCCACATCTAAAACATGTTACATTTGTAGGTGCTTTGCCAGGGGACTTCTGGAATGTGCTCATGTCAGCAGACAATTTATAAACTTTATCTGAGCTACTGAAATGCTGTGCTTCTTTAGCAGCAAGTTCCATGCCTACACTTATTTCAGTGGCTTTCTGCAACGTGAGATTACTTTCACTTAACAGCCTTTTTTGAATGGCTTCGCTTCTTAATCCACAAACGAGCCTGTCCCTGAGAGTATCATTCAAAACATCGCCGAATTCACAGTGTTCAGAAAGTTTCTTCAGTGCAGCCACAAACATAGTAACAGTTTCTCCCTCTTCCTGATTTCTCTTGTGAAACCGAAATCGTTCCGCTATCACCAGCGGTTTAGGTGAAAAATGTGTGCTCAACACTGCCACAATCTCAGCATAAGTGCTCTCACCTGGTTTCCTAGGCTGTACGAGACTCCGTAGCAAAGTGAAAGTCTTTGCGCCCATCACACTGAGGAACGTCGGCACAATCTTCTCACCCTCAATGGCATTTGCCTGCAGGAAGTATTCAAATCGCTCCATTGTTCCACATTTTCGTCAAACTGTCCGATATTTCCAATAATGCCAGCCATAGCGTCTTTCGAGCTCTCCGTCTTTCGGGCGTCCCAGTCAGTTGTTTTCTGCACTTCACTATATTTATATGCGGCAATTCAAACACGCAGAGGTTCTTTCAAAACATCCTCGTCGCCACTTTGTCGTGTCTTTGCCTTTTTATAAAGACAGAGGACAATAAATAAGAGTCATAGTCATGAATTCAGGAACGGAACACTTGCATGTCTTTAATGCTCACATTCATATCACTTTGTTTGCCGCACATCACCACGTCATCATCACATGACTTCATTCAACGCTTATGTCTTAAAGTGACAACGCTTTATACATAACAGACACGATAAAATCTAAATGGGTAAAGAACAGAACCCATTGAACCTGACAGATATTTAGCCTTTTGGCTTCTCTGAGGTATTCCAGGTTGTGATGATTGGTTATAACCTCATACCAATGCCTCCATTCTTCTAAAGCGAGCTTGATGGCGAGCAGCTCCCGATTCTTGATATCATAGGGGATAGCTTCTTATAGTAGAAGGTGCATGAATGGAGTTTGGGAGGATCACCCTGCCACTGGGAGAGAACCGCTCCAACTCCTGTTGAGGACATGTCCACCTCAACAACAAATGGTATATCTGGGTTAGGATGAACCAAGATAGACCAAGATGGGAGCAGTCCGGAAGACTTCTTTTAGTTGTTGAAAGGCTAAGATGGCTTCAAGAGATAAGGACAGAGACTTGGGCCGGCCCTTGAGGTCAGAGGAGAACTGATATGACTGTAGTTGATGAATCTTCAATAGAAATTGACAAACCCGAGGAATTGTTCTTTACAGTAGAGGGCTGGGGCCAGTTCCGGATAATTTCCACCTTCCTCTGGTCCATCTGGACTTTCTGTTGGTCTATGATGTTGCCCAGAAATTGCACAGTGGTTGTGTGAAACTCACATTTTTCCAGTTTCAGGTACTGTTTATGAACCCTTAGTTTCTCCAAAACAAGAGTGATGCGGCGCTTATGCTCAGAGAGAGATGAGGAGTAGATGAGAATATCTTCGATATAGACAACCACAAATCTGTTGAGATATTCCCGGAAGACCTCATTCATGTAACCCTGGAAGACTGCTGGAGCACTGGACAATCCAAAGGGCATATGACTCTTTACTCATAGTGGCCTACCCAAATGACTAAAAAAAGAAGCTGGAAGCAGCAGGGGACGTAGATGGTCGAATGAACTCCTGTTGAAGAGCTTCCTCCACATACTCCTCCATGGCCTTCTGCTCTGGCATGGACAGAGGATAAACGCGGCCTTAAGACAGAGTGGCTCCAGGTAGCAGGTCGATAGCGCAGTCTCATGGCCGGTGAGGTGGTAGTTTAGTCCCCAACTGCTTGCTGAACACATCCTGGAATGCCCTGTACTCAGCAGGAATCTCCATCTAGTGGTGGACTTCCGGAATCTCAATGGATGTGGAGCAAACGGATAACTCGGATCTGCCCATAGTAGATGAAGAAGATTTTCTGGATCTTCTTAACCGAAGTCTTCTCCACAGTGAAGGACCTCCACGGATTTCCAGCCGATGGTGGGTTGGTTGTTGGACCATCCAAGGGCGTCCCAGGATGAGCTCAGCAGTGGACTCCTCCAGCACCATGAACGAGATGTCCTCCGAGTACAGGCAGCCTATGCAGAGTGTCAGTGTGGGGGTGATATATCAAATTCGACTTCGGCCCAGCGCTCTACCCTGGATGGTTTGAACTCGGAGATCTTAATGATTTTGCAGTTTACGGACATTCAAATTTTGTAGGAGTTGAGTGGAAGTTCACAACCGAGCCGGAGTCGAGGAGGGCTTGTGCTGAGACACATACACAGGAGGTTAACAAATGAACAGTTGTGCGGGTTCAAGGTGGATATCTTAGGAGGGATCTGAATGGAGCTTACCACCGGCGTTGTGGTCGAACAGGGCAGGAGCTGATGAGGTGTTTGTCACCCCTACAGTATAGGTAGAGATGCTGCTGAATTCTATGCTGTCACTCTGAAGAAGAAAGATGAGTGGAGTCATCTGCATGGGCTCAGGTGCTGGAGGAGCGACAGAGCATTTACAGCGGTATCAAGGACATCACAGGTAGCGTTGAGATACTTGAATAGTTTTCTGAAAGAGACTTTCGATTCCTCTTATACAACCACCAGCTGACAGATGTTAGGATTGCGACCATGTCGAAAAGATTTAAATAAAGCTGTTTCGTTCCAGCCGCTAGAAGCCGCCAGCATGCGAAAATGAAGGGCATATGTACTCACAGAAGACTTTCCTTGACAAAGGGGATAGAGTTGATCGTGGGGAAACCCTGATGATAGCCTGCAGCTTGGATAATGTGCACAATTGTGTTACGATTCAAAAACTTTATTGTTTATCAGATGAAACAAAAGCATTTCATTTTCACATGCGTGTAAGCCACGAGGAAATGGTAAATGGTAAATGGACTGCATTTATATAGCGCCTTCAAAGACCTAATGGCCACCAAAGCGCATATCTCATACATATTGCAGCAATCGCAGCACAGTGATGGCATACTTTGATTCCAGAAGACACTGAGCTCACAGTCGATGCCAGCCCTGTAGGTCTGAGTGCAATTCTCTTTCAGAACCACAGATGTTTATCATTGCTAGTAGAGCTCTCACTGATGTTGAAAGACAATTCTGTCAAACAGATTGTAAAGCACTCGCAATTGTGCGGAGTTGCAAACATTTTCACTTTTACATCTACATAAATCCACTCTCACATGACAATCTCTCACATGTAGTGACATTACCAAGAAGTCTGATTTAGAGAAACTGACACCCTTTTTCATATCTTTCTGACTAACATTGGGAGTGATATTTTCTCCAAGCATGTGTTTCGAATGTTTTCAAACGCCTGGACTCAGTAGTTGATGCTGAACATCGAGTTATTCATTATATATTTAGATATCAGTCTCCAAAAAAAAAAAAAAAAAAATCATGTTGCTTGTTTATATTGTGTTTGCTGTTTTTTAAAGCTATGGCAGGCAATGTTTTCATAAAAATTTTCATATATATATATATTTTTTTTACTACAGAGGTTGAAAGTCCCTTTACATCCAAATAGCAATCAATAATTAAAGTGTTATTTGTTGGTATATATATATATATCTTCTACGGAAGTCTTAGGACCAAATAATGTTTGTCCAATCATTGCATTTGCTCTAAAACGCTGTGATAGGATGTCCTACCTGCCTGACAACCTATGAGTTTGCATACCTCCGCACACCCTGCTTGCGCAGACATCACATGTCATCAGCTTGTAGAGTTGTAGACACATTGCTAGTCACCGAACACTGCAAACAAACAGCAGCCACCTTTAACTCTTTCTCCTGAACCAAAACAATGAGCTTATTATCGTAATCATGAGATGAGAACTTGTGACGTTCTATGGATCTGTTTGCATCCTCAGACTCGGAATTACAGTATGCATTTCTATGGCAACCCTATCAACGCAGTTTCATATAACAGTCAGCCCCAACCCCCTGGACTGATGATTGTACACCCCTTCCCCTGGTCCAACGGAAATCAGTAAGCAATACATAGTACACTATCACTGGGCACAGCAAGGGCAGTTCCAAGGGATGCACCAGGAATCAGCACAGCTGTTCAAAAATGTGTCCATTATTTACCAAAATTGGCACAAAAGATCTTCAAAGCAAACAATTTTTTTTAATTTTTCAATGATAAAACAAGGGGCTGGAATTGTTTAATGAAACTTACCAGTGTGACATTCTGTGTGCTGATGGGAGCAGTCAAAGGTGAACTCTTTATTCTGGGATTCACACAGTGTGTCCAGGGTGGTTGTGCCAAGTCTGACAGTCTTCAGGCCCAGTTGAGTGCAATCCCTGTGGGGCATACATGGCTCAGTGGATGAAGATGTGCTGGAAAAATAACCTTGGGGACACTTCTCACACACTGTGTTCCTCTCTGGTGTGCCTGCAGGACATGTACATACACTCTCAATGCACAATTGCAATATGTAATTTTAGAATACAGAATACTTTGAATAGCAAAAACCTGGTCTACTTCTATGCAAAGCAGGCACATTCATGGCATTCACCTGAATATTTATTCATTCTATATAAACAATCCTACCCACTACATTGTTGAAATTATTATATTTATTTATTTATTTATTTATTATTTATTATATTTATATATAAATTATTATTATTATATTATATTATATTATATTGAAAGTAATTATAGTGATTATATGAATGTATTATGGTATGGAATATGGAAATATTACTATTTTAAACATGACTAAAGCTTTTTCAGTGCTTTAACTCACACATTTTTCTACAACATTCTTTATGTAAAGATACATAATACATACAATTATACATTGTATAATTGTAATACAATTATACAATACAATTATTATTATTATATTATATTATATTGAAAGTAATTATAGTGATTATATGAATGTATTATGGTATGGAATATGGAAATGTTACTATTTTAAACATGACTAAAGCTTTTTCAGTGCTTAAACTCACACATTTTTCTACAACATTCTTTATGTAAAGATACATAATACATACAATTATACATTGTATAATTGTATGGATAAACCCACTGTGAAAAGATAAGAAAAGAATCAAATTTTATTAAAGCTAAAAACCCATGTAGTCTGGTGTATAGGAAGTGAGAGTTTTATGAAAAATTGTTTAGGATTCATTAATTGATTCATCACAAATGTCATTCACGTCACACACGACAAAACCAGCTACTCACATGTATAGGTCAAAAATGAGTCATGTAAATGAGATATGAGACATATAAATGACTAAGATGGAAAAAAACACCCTGAAACTATTAGTGGAGTTTAATTATGTGAATAACAAACTAAGGAATTTTGAGGAACTAGATTTTTCTTTTGGATCTCATTCTTTAACTGTGCATGGAACTTCAAAACATAGAATATTAGTTTCACTCTATTTATTAGAAATTAAAAATGTGACAATAAGCAAAATGTACAATAATTTGTACTTTTTTTCAGAGTAGCAATAATGTGTGATATTGCTCAATCTAATAGGTTCAACATAAAATGTGTAGTCTAGGGGCAAACAACAGTTTGGGCATCTATTATGCCTCTGTTTAGAATCCATCAACACATTCTCATCCCAAGACGTCATCTAACTGAATCCTTCTACATTAGAACTATAGAGTAAGATAACATTTATGTTCTTTTTTTTTTTAACATTTTGTGTTGTTTGCTAGGGTTGTGAGGGGTTGCTTACAGGGCTAAGGGGTTGCTTACAGGATAATGTTGACCTAATTAAAAAGAGACATAAATAAATGACACAATTAAAACATCTGGTATAGAACATAAATTCTGAGAATGAACAGATCATCCTCATTATACTCAGTCTAGACTCTGGATGGGGTGGCCAATGTGAAAACAACCAGCAGTGTTATTCTGTTTAATAACTCTGTCACTCTCACTCTCATTGCTAACAGGGAAGTGATTACTTCCACTTACTCTGTTGGAATTCAGCCACTGTGAATTTCTCACTGATACAACAAACAACATGATTAAATAGCACCCTCACCCAAGTGAGGTACTGGCCGACTGCTAATGTATAATGAATGTGCTTTCTTAACCTTGACACCGGTTTGAAACAAAGGATACTGGTTTAAAAATGGTAAAATAAGGAATATTGATGCATTATGGATTTAATTCAGCGTCAGTTAACTGGCTGAGTGTGGAGTTTTACTGAAAATCTCTGAGGCTCCCTAATAATTATATTTAAAATGGCATTTAAAAGCAATGACACTTGGCTAATTTAAATTAAAAGTTGTGTAGCAACTTTTTTCTTAATAATATTTTGGTGATTGAGATGTTTGAAACTTGATACATAACTTGCATCTGGCAAGTCTGTGAAATTGCTAAATTACTTGTTTAGACACACTGGTTCAAACATCGATGGTCTTGAATTCATAAATATTGTTCTAGCACACTGTTGACAAAGAAAGAGTGTACATACCCTGTACAGCGACTCCAGAGCCAGGTAAGCAAGCTGTGTGATGGACACAAAATTCTACGACCAAGTGATACCCAGGTATACACTCACAGAGCCTGTCATGAGTGCTGTTACATTCCCTTTGTACTATCTGCCTTTCTTTGCAAACAGTTGTACAATGTTGACAGCTGTCTCCCCAATGCCACTGTTCCGCAAAGTGTTTTTCTGGGCAGGGGACACAAATGGTGGGTTCATCTGTCCTGCAGTGGCGTCCCACGGCCGTGCCAGGTGGACACTGCTCACAAAGCAGCACCTTAGAGGTCAGAGGGTCTCGGTGCTGGTACTTGGGTATTTCTTGGTAGGCCCATGCAAAAGACATGGCAAAAAGCTAAGGAAACAAATAGGAAATACAGTTCAGAGCTTGAATTTTGGTATGTATGTGAATTGTTTTCTAAGATATTTTGAGGATTTCCCCTTCACACTGCTGCCATGAGAGAGAGAGAGAGAGAGAGAGAGAGAGAGAATTTTTAACCACATTTTATTACAAATAACCTAATACTAATACATTCAATTCCTACCTACAAGAGTACAAAGAAACATACACATTCAATATATCAAATATAAAACTCATTCCAAAATATGTGCAAACTGTAAACTCTCATTAATTATTTCACACAGAGCCCCCTTGTAACACCAAATCAATTCAAAAGACATAAGATCCCCCATAGCCTTATAAAACCGAAAATCATTTAAAATTCTGGATTTTACTTGGTTAAGAAACATAATCTGCAAATTAACACTTGAATTGCATTCAATTCTTATTTTTCTAGTATCATATATCGTCACTTAGCTCCACCTCACTTTCAAGATTAACAGAAGGTTTGCCTACCGTGTCTACCACACAGTCTCTATTCTCCACCTCCTTATCTTCACCCACAGTAACCACCATTTCTTCATCCTCCTCAGAACGATCCGCCCGTTGTACATCCACTGTCGCTGTGACAGTTGCCGGCGCCGCTATTTTCACTGAACTCGGTCCAGGCACCTCATCATTTGCGACTATCGCAGCGACATTCTGATCTGCATTTACAATGTTTCCATCTTCCAAAACCTGTGAAGGTCTCTCATTACTCTTATCCTGCCTACCGGGACACGCACGGATCAAATGCCACATTTCGCCACAATTGAAACACTTCATGTTGTTTGTGGTGGCAAAAATTACGTAATTAAAATCCTCGTGTCGAAAATTAAAGGACAAATCCAGTTCCTCAACGTTATCTTGTAGGATCATATAAACATAATTCCTAAAAGACACTACATGTTTTAAGAGAGGAGACTTGGTGCCAATCGGAATCATCTTTATAGGTGAGACTGTTTTTCCATAACGGGCAAGCAATCCGATCAACACTTCATTTGGGATAAATGGTGGCACATTCGATAAAGTAACCTTTTTAGAAGGTGTAGACAAAGGAAGCACTGAAAACACCCTTAATCACTATGCCGCTTTGTACTAGCTTATTTGCCAAATCTACTGTTTTCACAAATACAACAACAGCGCTGTTCATACGGGACGCTGATACAATATTCTCATGTCCGACCGCTTCTCCCACCGCTAAACTGCATCCCTCCACGCCAGCACCTGAATCTATTTTTACACCATGTCGCCTTGTCAAAGAAATGAAACTTTCACCACTGCCTGGGGTAGCCATGCTCCTAACACGTGGGAGCCGACACCCCTTCTGACACAACACTCACTTCCCCACTTCACAACTTAAATCTACAAAAAACAAAAACCAACAACTAACCAAAAAAAAGAATATATATAAATAAGATAGAGAAGTATAGACCACTCGTACCTCACAGCAGCCAAACGCTCGCTCACACTCGCTACGCCCACTCACTCGCACATACTCACAGAGAGAGAGAGAGAGAGAGAGGCCGACCATACGGAAATGTAATTTAAGCACAAATATTAAATATCAATATATGTAATATATGCTCATTTAAAGTAAAAACATACTGTATATAACCTAGTAGAAATTGGAACGCTTCCATATATTTCCATAAACATCTATATTTATATGGGATATATTAAATAATCCATATTTTGACATATATCTCATATAAAATTATCGAAACACTGCATATGTATAAAAAAAAAACATAAATACAGGGGTTGGACAATGAAACTGAAACACTGGCCAATGTTGGAGGTAGTGTTGTCACGGTACCAAAATTTCAGTATTCGGTACCAATACCAGTTAAAATTCACGGTTCTCGGTACCAATTTCGGTACCAAAGCTTAGTTTAAATCTACATATATTTAAGTGTTTATCACGGTTACAAGTATGGAAACTGTACATTTGTATTATAAACACTTTAGAAAAAGATTAGATAAAATGACCTAAAATAAACAATAGTATACACTAACACATTTTTAAAGTTGTTTGTAAAGTTTTAATCCATTATTTATTTAATGCACAATGAATGAAGTGAACAAACATGAACAATCAGGTGTTTGTAATAAATAACATTTTCAAACATTAATTAATGTTGTAAAAATATATTGTTCACTCAATGTGTTGATAACTAAGTAATGTTGATGAATGGTATCTTTGTAGCATTACCATAAAACATGTTTTATTTGACTTGACTGTCCTTTTATTAAATCTAAAACTGCATTCATATTTAATTTTAAAAAGGCAAGTACTGCCTAGTACTGGCACTGACATTAAATGACAATACTAATACCAGTAGTACTCTGGTGTCGGGTGGATACTACTGTGCTCATGTACTCGTAAAACTACCCCGAAAGCACTTTAGAGGCCGTTCACATGTCGCGCGTGTTTTTTAATTATATTTTTGCGCGTGCTTATTATTTCCAAAGCGCTTGCTCTCACGCGGCGTCTGTCGTTGCTATGCAACGCCAACGAGTTTTTATTATGAGCGCGCTTGAATCGCGCCTATATTTGAAATTGCGAATTTGCATGTAATCGGCCTCTTATGGCAACGTGACAACAAGTGGATTCAGAGAGAGAGAGAGAGAGCCATATCAGCGTTAAAGAGGACGCAACTGTGCACGTTTCAGACATCGCGTCTAGAACAGAACTGGATTAACCTGGTACTCGGTACCTAGAAAAGCTGGTACCGTAACATTTTTTTTTTTTTAGTACCGACTTGGTACCGAAGTACCGAGTTTTTTGACAACACTAGTTGGAGGTTTCACATCTATATGCCTGGCGGCCAATCTTCAGAGTGAAGCACGGGTGGATCAGTGACGGTTTGAGCTCCAATATCATGACAATCCTGATTGTATTTGATGGACACGACACTGCCGAGGACTACCAAACCCTTCTGGAGGATCATGAGCACCTGATGCTCAAACCGTGTATCAGCATGATCATGCACCAACACACACAGCAAGACAGAAGGGTTCGATGAAGTTGAAAGTGACGTTGAACATCTCCCAGGGTCTGTACAGTCACCAGATCTGAATATTATTGAAGTGTTTTGGAGGAGCGAGTCCACCAGCATCATATAGTGACCTGGACACTGTTCTGGAAGAGGAACGGCGCATAATCCCTCTGGTCACTGTGAAGGACTTCTATCTGTCAATTGGTGCTGTATTTGGATGCAAAATGAGGCCATCACCATTCTAACAAATTATTGTGCTGTAAAACCAGGTGTTTCAGTTTCATTGTCCAACCCCTGTATGTCAAACTGCCAGAGTCAAGTGATTTCAGTAAACGACGCCTATAGACGTTATAATTGTTATAATTATAACGAGACGTTATAATTGTTTTGAAACACTTCAATGGTTCACTGCTGGGGGTGCTGATCTGTCAACCCATTAACATGAGGAGTCACTGAGAACCTATGAACAAGTGTTTGCGGGTTATATCTGATCTCTGATTAGTTTTATACATTTGTAGATATTTTGATTAGACATTAGTATATCTAATTTAGTTACGTAAATAGCCATAAAACAAACAAAACAAACCCTGATCTTTAACGAAGTTACTAAACGTAAGTTAGGGAGGAGCGAGCCCATCCAATCTTTCAATCAACAACCAACGTATAAGCAGCCGCTTACCTCTCCCTAGTATCAGCCGTTCCAGTATGCATTACTGCTTCATAGAATAATGTCAGACATCCCGAAAATACAGCTCTTCCCGTCAGACGACGAAGTGACGAGCCTTCCCGAGACTCCGACAGCCTCACCCCGTGTAAGATCGGATATCACGGATCATCTCCAAGAGCGTTCTGGCCGAGAAATCCAGCGCTCATACAAACCACGTTCTAAAAGACAACGCTCTCCTCCACCTTCAAGACCGCCAGTTTTAACTGTGCCTCGTCCGTCTTCTCAGATTTCATCTCTCCACGCAACAGCCGCTAAAACACCGATTCCACCCATTTCGAAATGTTCGGTCAACAGCCTACGTCAAGTCCTTTCCAGTTCCGGAATCCATTTCTCACGCAGATCTTCAAAAGCGCAGCTTTACGATCTCTTCATCAGTTCCAGCACCGGGCATCCTGATCCCAAACAAACTCAACGTGGAGATCCAAAGACTACCGGCAGCTCCGCGGCTCGCACGTCAGGGTCCGCCGGTAATTCCAACCCGGCCAGAAACAGCGGCCGCAAAAAACAGTTCCGCTTCTTCTCCAGCTGCAACAAACTTCATCCAGTCAGCCCCACTCCCCAGACAAGAAGCAAACTCTCAAACACTTTTCTCAGCACTTCCATCTGCTTCTCCAGCTTTTTCTAATCCTCTTCATAATAACCCTTGTGCCAGGCCACCCTCGCACAAGGTTACATTTCTATCATCCCCAAACCAACCTACCCTAAGAGCGGATTCTAGCGTGAGGCTGCCTTCGCTAGCTATCCCCCCTCCACCCCCTCCTCTTTCTTTCCATTCTAATTCACCCCATTCCTTTCCTCCCCCAGCTATTTTCCAATCGTTTCCTAATATTCTTTCCAGTTCATATCCGAGCGTGAGGTTGCCTCCGCAAAGGATTTCTTCTCCTTTCTTTCCCACAAACCCTCCCATTCCTTTAACTTCAGCCCATGCCAGCCATCTTGGACACCAGCCAGTAATGGGACCCTCCGATCAACATTCATCTACTTTTCCTAACACCAACACCTACTCTCCAGGTACAATCCGCTTACCAGCCCATTCACTCTCCACAGCAGTCAATCTTCCAGCTCCTCCTAATGCAGTGGCCATGGAACCACCTCCAGTTTCAGCCCATCTCCGGTCCTTAATTCTATCAGGTGCAGACATTGATCTTCCTTCTCTATTGACTTCCGTCCCCCTCAATGAATCCCACTGCTCATTTGATTGCGGCCCATTAACCATCAATCTTAAAAATTCTGTAATACCTTCAAAAAGAGTTCTCATACTTGCAGAATTCTGCATCGCGTTTACTAGATATACTGAAGTAATTTGCACTTCATTTCCAGACAGACGCAAGGAATTAAACAACTACCTCTCTATTGTAGCAGAGCTCAGTCTCTCTTTTGGAGGTAGTCATTTTTATACATATCATAAGCTTTTTTCAGCTAAATGCGCCGGCCGTGTCACCCACTGGAACCAGTGTCCTTATTGGGGAGCTCTGGACCTCGAGCTTTACAACAGAGTCTTCCTAGGCATTCTGAGCCTTTCTTGCGCCATCTGCAGGTCCATTATTCATTCTACTTCAGAATGTCCCCAAACCAACCCAGATCTTCCAACCCATTCAGCTCCTTTCCAAGAAAAATCCACAGCCTACGTCCCTCAACCAAGGAATGACCGCAGTCAAATATTTACCTCAGTTTCAGGTAGACAAGTGTGCAACAGCTTCAATTCCTCAGGTTACAACAGACAACGATGCCGCTTCCTTCACTTGTGCAATTTCTGTGGCGGAGCTCACGCCCATTCCATTTGCCCCGTGCGCCGCTCTTCTGTTAACCTCAATAAAAAATTTTTAGTCCAAAACTCTAGTCCAATCATTATTTCCTCACTAGCTAGAGAACTACACAACCATCCAGACAAAAACTTCACCCAGTTTCTACTTTCAGGCCTGAAAGAGGGGTTTGACCCCGGCTTGGTAAGCATACCCGATTCCAGCCTGATTTGCAACAATCTTCAATCCGCAACAGCCGAACCCGATATAGTGGATGCCCTAATCAAAAAAGAACTAGATTCAGGATTCATGATCGGCCCTTTTGATTCTCCACCATTCAAATTATTCCGTATAAGTCCTATCGGAGTAGCCACTAGAAAATTTTCAGGCAAAAAACGAATTATCATTGATCTCTCAGCTCCCCATGGAAGTTCCCAACCTAGTATCAATAGCCTAATTCCTCTAGATGAATTTTCACTGCACTACCACGACATAGACCAAGCAATCTCTCTCATAAAAAACGCAGGTCTCGGAGCCTGGCTAGCAAAGGTCGACATTACATCTGCCTTTAAAGTCATGCCAATTCACCCAGATTTCTGGCACCTTTTCGGCATTCGTTGGCAAGAAAAATACTACTTCGCAGTGCGGCTAACTTTCGGCTGTAAAAGCAGTCCCAAAATTTTTGACATGCTTTCAGAAGCACTCTGCTGGATTCTACAAAACAATCACGCAATCCCATACCTCATCCATCTCCTTGACGACTTCCTCGTCATATCACCAAGTAATTTCCCTCCAGCAAAACACTTAACCATCATCCAAACAGTGTTTTCCAAACTAGGAGTTCCCCTCTCTCGAAAAAAAAAACCGAAGGCCCTTCTACG